GCAGTTTTTGGCCAGGGCTGGGTTTGAACCCACCACCTCTGGCATATGGGGCCAGTGCCCTACTCCTTGAGCCACAGGTGCCGCCCTCATTCTTCCCTTTTATATGTTTGCAACAGTCTCACTCTGTTGCCCTTGGCAGAACACCATGGCATCATAGCTTACAGCCGCCTCATGCACTCTTGCCTAAGTTTTCCTATTTTTAACAGAGACTGGTCTCACTCTTGCTTAGGCTAGTCTCAAACTCCTGTGCTCAAGCAATCACCTGCCTCAGCCTCCTAGAGTGCTGGGATTACAGGTGTGAGTCACCGTGCCTGACTCAGTGTCCTTGTCAAACAGCTCTCTCAGCAGCTAATCCTAACTTCTTTCCCTACAAGGACTCAAAATCAATCCAAAATATGGTAGAGAAGTCATCCTGATCATTGGCCTTAAATAAATACCCTGCAGGATTACCAGCTCTTGTTTTCTACAAACAGATTAATTTTGATTTCTAAATTTGGATCTGAGAGAAGAGGAGGAGCTGGGCCAGGAGGAGCTGGGCCTGTAGGAGCTGCTGCCAGGTTTTGTGAGTTTCAGGGAGCCAGGCCTAGGGGACGGGATGTGTTCCAAAGCCCAAGCTGGTGGTACAGAAGGTGGTGGTTCACCCTCTGGTGCTGCTCAGTGTGGTGGATCATTTCAACCACTTCAGCAAGATGGGAAACCAGAAGTGTGTTGCTGGTGTGCTTTTGGGGTCATAGCAAAAGAAAGTACTTGATGTATCCAACAGTTTTGCGATAACTATTGATGAAGATGACAAAGGTCTGGTTTTTAGACAATGATTATCTGGAAAATACGTGTGAAATGTTTAAGTAGGTTAATGCCAGAAAGAGAATAGTTGAGTAGTACCAGATAGGCCCTAAACGACCCCAAAATGACATCACCATCAATAAGTTCATGAAAAGATACTGCCCTAACTCAGTATTGATCATTATTGATGTGTGAAGTCAAAGGATCTGGGGCTGTCCACAGAAGCTTATATTTCAGTGGAAGAAGTTCAAGATGATGGACTCCAACCTCAAAAATATTTGAGCATGACCAGTGAAATTGGTGTAGAGGAAGGTGAAGAAGTTGGAGCAGAACCCTTGTTACGAGACTACAGTGGGCACTCTTTCCCAGTGGATCACAAACCAAGTCCCTGGTTTGAAGGGACTGAACTCCAAGCTTCTGGATATCAGGACCTACTCAGAAAAAGTAGCCCCACTGGATCATCTACCAGATGCAAGACGTCTTCACCTGCCCGCAGACATCAGCCTAGGCCTTTTACATGAAGACCAACAACCAGTTGGTGGTGTACTTGGCCTCACTGATCCATTCTGTGGTCAACCTACATAACCTCATCAATAGCAAGATGCCAAACCAAGATGCAGAGAAGAAAGAAGGGCAGGAAAAAGAAGAGAGCAAAAAGGACAGAAAAGATGATAAACAGAAAGATAAAGGTAAGGGAAAGAGTGATGTAAAGAAAGGAGAAAAAGTAAGACAAGTAGATTTTTAAGTTTGTAAATTAACGCCCAGTACAGCAGCTCATGCCTGTGATCCTAGCACTTCAGGAGGCCAAGGTGGGTGGATCACCTGAGCTCAGGAGTTCAAGATCAGCCTGAGCAAGAGTGAGACCCCTGTCTCTACTAAACAAGAAAAAAAAAAAACTAGCTGGGTATGCTGGCAAGTGCCTATAATCCCATCTACTCAGGAGGCTGAAGCAAGACCATCTCTTGGGTCCAAGAGTTTGAGGTTGCTGAGAGCTGTGACACCAGGGCATATTACAGAGGGTGACAGAGTGAGACTCTGTCTCAAAAAAAAAAAAAAAAATCAGAAGAATCTCATAGACTCCCAAGGGCAGGATGTTCATTGAGACTTAGGGGATTCCAGGGGAAGCTGGAATCTCAGACAAAGAAAATCACGCCAATCACTTAGTTTAGTTAGAGTCACTTTGTCACTCATCTTTGTTTATGCTTTGTCTCCATAGCTCACTTTTCCCTTTTTAATAGTGAGTGAATAGGTGGTATTCTAGTCTAACTTTACATCATCTTCTTGATTTTTTTCAATTATTTTTTTATTTTTGAGACAGTGTCACTATGTCACCTTTGGTAGATGCCATAGCACTCTAGCCTGGGCAGCAGAGTGAAACTCAGTCTAAAAAAAAAAGAAGAGGAGTCTCAGTGCCCATAGCTCAGTGGGTAGGGTGCTGGCCATATACACTGGGGCTGGTGGTTTCAAACCTGGCCCGGGACTGCTAAACAACGACAACTACAACAAAAAAATAGCTGGGCATTGTTGGGGGCACCTGTACCCCCCAGCTGCTTGGGAGGCTGAGACAAGAGAATTGCTTAAGCGCAAGAGTTTGAGGTTGCTGTGAGCTATGATGATGCCACTGCATGCTAGCCACGGTAACAAAGTTGAAAGAAAAGGGAAAGAAGGAGATAACTTGATCAGGCATACAATTTGTTTGTTTGTTTTTGAGACAGAGTCTCACTGTGTTGCCCTTGGTAGAGTGCTGTGGCATCACAGCAACCTTAAACTCCTGGACTTAAGCAATTCTCTTGCCTCAGCCTCCCTGTAGCTGCGACTACAGGTGTCTGCCACAATGCCCAGATATTTTTTGTTGCAGTTGTCATTGTTTGTTTAGCTGGCTTGGGTCAGGTTCAAACCCACCAGCCTTGGTGTATGTGGCTGGTGCCATAACCACTATGCTACAGGCGCCAAGCTAATTAGGTACACAATTTGGAAAACCAAAACTCTGATGGTATTGTAGAGGCTGAATTGAGGAAACCTTGAAAAGCTCCTGTTTTGCCTTTCCCCTCACCTACATCTTTGATCTTAATTTACTCCAATGGCTGTCATTATTTTTATTATTCCTCTGCTATCCAAATTGACGGCAATGTTATATCTTTCTAATTTAAAGAACTTGTATTATTAAAAACTTTATTCATTTAAATTTTTGCCACTATCTCTATGTGAGGTTCTGAACATTATGATTATGATTTTTTTAACTTTTAAAAGTCATTCATTAACTTCTTCTTCTTTTTTTTTTTTTAATGGAGACAGAGCCTCAAGCTGTCCCCCTGGGTAGAGTGTTGTGGCATCACAGCTCACAGCAACCTCCAATTCCTAGACTCAAGCGAGTCTCCTGCCTCAGCCTCCCAAGTAGCTGGGACCACAGGCACCCGACACAACGCCTGGCTGTTTTTTTGGTTGAAGCCATCATTGTTGTTTGGCGGGCCTGGGCTGGATTCGAACCCGCCACTTTAGGTGTATGTGGCTGGAACCTTAGCCACTTGAGCCACAGGCGCCAAGCCCATTCATTAACTTCTTTCTTTTTTATTTTTGAGACAAGGTCTCATTATGTTGCCCTCTGTAGAATGCTATGGTGTCACAGCTCACAGCAACCTCAAACCCTTGGGCTTTTGCAATTCTCTTGCCTCAGCCTCCCAAGTAGCTGGGACTACATACCGCCACAATGCCTGGCTGGTTTTTGTTGTTGTAGTTGTTCTTGTTGTTTAGCAGGCCCAGGCAGGGGTCAAACCCACCACCCCCAGCATATGTGGCTGGCACCCTAACCACTGAGCTACGGGAGCTGAGCCCTTTTTTTTTTTTGAGACAGAGTCTCATTTTGTTTCCCTTGGTAGAGTGCTATGGTGTCATAGATCACAACAACCTCAGACTTTTGGGCTCAAGTGATCCTCTTGCCTCTGGAGTAGCTGGGGTTACAGGTGCCCACCACAATGCCTGGCTGTTTTTTAGAGGCAGGGTCTCACTTTTGCTCAGGCTGGTCCTGAACTCCTGCACTCAGACAATCCATCCTCCTCAGCCTCCCAGAGTGCTAGGATTATAGGCATGAGCCACAGAGCCAGGCCTCATTCATTAACTTTTTTTTTTTTTTTGAGACAGAGCCTCAAGCTGTCCCCCTGGGTAGAGTGCCGTGGCATTACAGCTCACAACAACCTCCAACTCCTGGGCTCAAGCGAGTCTCCTGCCTCCGTCTCCCAAGCAGCTGGGACCACTGGCACCCGCCACAACACCCGGCTATTTTTTGGTTGTAGCCGTCATTGTTATTTGGCGGGCCCGGGCTGGGGATTCGAACCCGCCACCTTAGGTGTACGTGGCTGGCGCCTTAGCCGGTTGAGCTATAGGCGCTGAGCCCATTAACTTTCTAAGTACTTTTCATGATCTATTTGGGTCCAGTTCTATCTTGTGTTATTTTTAAGTAAACTACTCCTCTTCCCTGGTACATGTTGAGTATCACACAAAAGTGTGCCTTGACAGATGCTCAGTCCTGGGACCCTACTTTCATCTGCTTTCACCTTGAACCTGCCCTGACCCCTCCTAGAAACTATCGATCCTACAGGTTTGATTATGAACTTGGTTCTTTTGAAAACGCTGCTATGATTCTCTGCCTTGGAACCTTGGGTAATATCTCCCCTGACTGGTAATGTCTGTCAGTGCTGATGAAAATTTAGATTTATGCAATGGAGAAATTAGTGTAAGAATACAAGCCTTCGGGAAGGCACCTGTGGTTCAAAGGAATAGGGCACCAGCCCCATATACTGGTGGTGGTGGGTTCAAACCCCTGAAAAAAAAATACAAGCCTTCAGATCTGAAACTGTGAGATCTGATGTCTGCTCCCATTGCTAAAGCTCCAAAAGATTGAAGAAGTAATCAATCTTCTAAGAGAAATTTCTTGGCCAATCACTGTTAAGTTACAAAAGTAAGAGACTGCTTCGTTATCTGATCAAAACCACATATATATGTCTGTATATGTAACTACAATTTGGTACCTACAAGCTGAATATAAATTACCATCAATTTAAAAGTCCTTTGTTTTTATCTACTTGTTTGTTTATTTTTATTTCAGATAATATGAGGGTACAGCTGATTAGGTTACAATCTTTGTTAGGTAAAGTCCCTGTCTTACTGTGTCCCACACCCAGGAAGTGTGTCATGTACACTTACATTGTGCCCATTAGGTAGGAGCACACCAACCCAAGCCCTTTATTTTTGAAAAAGTTCATTTTATTGATGTTTACATTTAATACTAAAATTTTATGACTTAAAATACTTTCTAGCCACACAAAACATGAACGGTAGCATTACTTTTATTTTCTTTTGAGTCAGAGATTCAACTATGGTCTGATCTGTGGAATTCTCCTTGATCACACTCCAACCCTCTTTTCTGGATTTCCACTATTTCCCGGCTCTACTGCTCTCTTCCTTCTCCAGCTGCTGTAATTTAGACTCTCATTATCCTCCATCTCCAATTGAAAAAAGGAGAGGGGGTGTCTCCTAACGGTTTTTTTATCCATCCATGGAATTTTCTAAAATGTAAATCTTTGGGATGACTTTCAGTTGCCCACGGAATAAAGCCCTGACTCTCGTACTTCCTACCTAAGTCCCTGAGAAGACCAGGCTCCTGTCTTTATCTCTGGGCATTATCCATCTTGCACCTAAGGTCCAAACAATACCCTACCACTTGTAGCAAATACACAGCAGGGCATGTGGAGTTTTGTATGGAGGGAAGAACAAATGACTAGGGCATTTATCATGAATAACGAAGGCAAGAGTTGACACCAGAAAGTAGAGAACAGGATGTCTCGAGCTTGCCGTCAAGGTACACACTTTTTCAGGCCTAGTAGATCACATTTTAGTGATCTGTGATGACCTCTCCAACAGAATAGTTCGGGCTACCTAATTCCAGTCTCTTCGCGCCTTACAGCATTTCACATCACGACCTGTGGTTTTAATTCTCAGTTTTTCTGCTTCTGAATTCGCCTCGGCCTGGGAAGAGGGCTGGAGAACTCGTCCTCACCGCTCAAGATTCACTCTAGACGTGCTCCATCTGGGAGATTTTCCTCTCCGCCGCGCCCCCGCGCCCCAGCACACTGCGCTTCTGCGGCCCGCCGGCTTTACGTCGGGTCGCCGCCGGTAGGGCAGTAGGGTGGCAGCGCGGGTAGCGGCTCCCCAGCTCCCGCGGCCGCGGCCAAGCACTGCACAGGGAGCGGCGCACAGTGGGAGCTCAGCCCCTCCGCCGGGAGGGACAGGGCCGCCTCCGATCACGTGACCCACCGATTGTCACGTGGGCGCCGCTCACCTGACCAGGGTCTCACGTGGCCCAGCCCGCTGGGAGGAGGTGACCGGCGGGCCATGGCAGGCTCCAGGCTTTGGTTTTCGCTGCTGCTGGCGGCAGCGTTCGCGGAGCGGGTGACGGCCCTCTGGCCCTGGCCCCAGTACATCCAGACCTCCGGCCGCCGCTATGTCCTCTATCCCAACAACTTCCAGTTCCAGTACCATCCCAGTTCGGCCGCGCAGCCCGGCTGCTCTGTCCTCGATGAGGCCTTCCAACGCTACCGCGACCTGCTCTTCGGTTCCGGGTCGTGGCCTCACTTAACAGGTGAGTCGGACCTGCCCCACCTCGTTCCCAAGCCCTAGAGAGCCTCTTCTGGGACAACTCCCCAAGGTCTCCTGAGACGCCCTTGTTTTGGCTTTGACCCAGCTGTCTGATCATGTGCACCCCACTTCCTCCTGCCCTTTTTCTCTAGCTGTCGACTCAGTCTCCCCACTGTATTAGTCCTCTTCTTCCATTCACTTCTCCAAGCTGACTTCTGGGGCCAGATTTGTTTGGAATTCTTTCCTCGGGCTATGTTAGGTTTTCATTCAAAAATACCCACCGTGGGACTTAACAACTCAATCAGGATATCAAGTTATTGAAAATACTGTGCTGACAGACATCTAAGGTGATCCTTCTGACCATTTTCAAGGGAAGCAGAGTCCTAGTTGAGGCAGTGACTAGGGCTGGGTAGAGGAGACCAGAGAAAACACCCAAAATTGGTGAGAAAAAATACACGAACGTATGCGTAATAACATAAAAGTGTCTTCCATAAGGAAATGAGTTTCCAGCAGTCACTTAGAAAGAAAGGGTAGATGTGTAATAATAATTAACCAGGTCTAAGAAGGAGGAAGAAATACTTGAGCAGAAGCACCAAGAGTTTGTAAGTGAGCTCAAAGTTCAGGCCTGGTCTGTGTGATGAGGGTGGGAACTGTGGAGCGATGGGATTGGTGAAGGCCCGGAGGTGAAATGAGGAGTCAGGTGGGCTTTGGACATTGGTTTCATACAAAACAGAAGGGGCTAGCAATTTTCTTCTGTGCAACTATGTAATAGTACTGAAAATTTCTTTTGAGGATAATTATTCCTTGACAAATTTATTATTAAATTTCATTCCTCAGCAATGCAAAGGAATGAAATTCTACTTTATGGGCTTAACATTAGGACTTTTCTTAATAATCTCCTGAAATCTAGCTCTCTAGTTATATTGTCTTGTGGAGGGAAAGCCTTATTTACAATTGGGCCATATAATAATGTCATTTTGTATGATGTTTCAAGTGTGGTTAAATTAATTTCACAAAAGTTCTCATTTGATATATAGAATTAAAGCCTTTAATTAAACAGATGGCACTGGGGAGTGACAGATAATTAGAGAAAGAGATAGAATCTTGGCATCAAGGTAAGATTCATTAGGCTGGAAAGGATAGAAGGTCTGCTGTTGAATGTGGTAGCTCACATCTATCTCTGAGTCTTTCATGACAAGTAATTGAGTGCCTTACACAAGATTGGCACTCAGAATATGTTTATTTTGGTTACAGAACAGTTGGAGCTTGGCTTATGCAGAAAGAGATCCTTCATTTAATTGGTACATAACCAATCCTGGTGCTTGGTACTCTGGAGGTTACAAAAGAAATCTAAGATGTAGCCCCATGCTCTACATTTTAGCTGGGAAATTATGAAGCAGAAGAACACTATAATGAAATGCTCAAAAGATAAGGAGGATATTTACTACTATTGTATAAATGAGGATAATTCCAATACTTATAAATTAAGCCTTCACCTCTATTGCTATAGTTTAATCAAGTAAATAGGAATGGGGAGAGTATCTGACAATGGGGTGCTATTGTTGCAGGAAGACGAGGCCCAAAGGAGAGAAAGAGCACCGAAACACCATAGTTATAAGAGGAAGGGCTTTATTCATTGGCCGGGAGCTTATGACATAGAAGATTTCCAAAGGGCCACGCTCCCCAACTGTCTTGGTCTTTCCCTTTTTATTGACAGTCAGAAAGTTCCACCCCACAGGCACCCTTCCCATTGGCCAGTTTGAATCAAGCAGGAGATGCTACTCCAGCCCCTACAGAACTATAGGATTTCACAGAACTTGGAAATTTCCAAGTTCCAGGGAGTTAAGCCTATAAATTCCTAAGAGCTGAGTCACCATAGAGAGGGCCCTGCAGGTGCATCCTCGTGGTCTCCCTGAGAAGACCTGTTCTCCCAGACCTCGCCCCTCTCCAGTATCCTCTCTCACTGTAAATTCTCTAATGAAAAAGATTTAGAGTCAGGTTAGAAACTCAGTGAGATGTTTATTTGAATTTCTTACTACCTTCCTGTGAATGAATTTGCATTATCAGTTGAGAGTTCTTGTCCATTGAGAGATAATGAAGGCTGGGTTGGGTGACCATTACCAAAGACTTGCAAGTATTTTCTTTCTCTATTGTTCTTCCCTTTGGAATCTTCTTTTTGATACATAAAATAGTTTTCTATGCAGGATTTCAGGTGACTTTTGAGCTATAATTCTCTTTCTGGGATGACATTTTTTTTTTTTTTTTTTTCAGATTTTGGCTGGGGCTGTGTTTGAACCTGCCACCTCTGGCATATGGGGCTGGCACCCTATCCCTTTGAGCCACAGATGCCCCCCTATAATTCTCTTTCTGTAGAAATAAGAAAAGGCCCAAACCATAGTATATTTCTGTTTTTGTTTTTTTTTGAGACAGAGTCTCTCACTTTGTCACCCTGGGTAGAATGCTGTGGCATCCTATAGTTCAATAGCAAACTCAAACTCAAGATCGGGTCTTATGCTTGCTTAGGCTGGTCTTAAATTCCTGAGCTCAAGCAATTCACCTACCTCGACCTCCAGAGTGCTAGGATTACAGGCCAGAGTATATTTCTTTTTTTTTTTTTTTTTTTTTTGAGACAGAGCCTCAAGCTATCCCCCTGGATAGAGTGCCATGGCATCATGCTCACAGCAACCTCCAACTCCTGGGCTCAAGCGAGTCTCCTGCCTCAGCCTCCCAAGTAGCTGGGACTACAGGCGCCCGCCACAGCGCCTGGCCATTTTTTGGTTGCAGCCATCATTGTTGTTTGGCGGGCCCGGGCTGGGGATTCGAACCCGCCACCTTAGGTGTATGTGGCTGGCGCCTTAGCCGCTTGAGCCACAGGCGCCGGGCCAGAGTATATTTCTTTATGGTCAAATTTTAGTAAAGAAAGCAACATATGCAAGTTATGTGTTAGATAACTAACATTTCCATCCCCCTTTCTCCAAATAACTTATCTGTAGGCTCTGGGCTAATGTTTTTCTGGACCTGGAACTCCATGGAATTCATACTTCTCTGACACACAAGTCTGGTATTCAATTCCGTTTTGAATCAACCTTCAAAGGGTTAGCCATAGTCCCATCAGCTGCTTACATGGTCTGTGGAGGTGTTTGGTATTTGCCATCTGTCTTTGTCATTGAGAGGTATTTTCATGGAGAGGGCGTGTGTTGCATGTTGTTAAACTTGTTAAATGGAATTATTTTATGTTCTAAAAACTTGAAATTAGTTCTCTGATTATTAAGACACATCCTGTTTGTAAATTAAAGACTTGATCATTTGGAATGGCACCATCTGATGCTGTCCAGAGACGAACTCAGTATCTGGAGCATGGTGTTTGATGGAGCTGATAAAGTCTGAATTTTCCAAGTAAAATGGTTAAGTCTAATCATTCATTTGTCTGCATTCTTCTTTTCTTTTCCTGAAATTAGTTGGTTGAAGCTGTGGTACAGTTATGGTAAGGTATGGTAAGGTTCCCATCATGGTCTGATTTTCACATGTGAGAGAGAATACCCGAGAAGGGTGAGGTCTAGGAGAATAGGTCTTCTCAAGGAGACCCCAAGGATACACCTGCAGGATCCTCTCCATGGTGACTCAGCTCTTGGGAATTTGTAAACTCAACTTCCTGGAACTTGGAAATTTCCACTTCTGTGAAATCCTGTAGTTCTGTGGGGGTTCGAATAGAATCTCCCACTTAATTCAAACTGGCCAATGAAAAAGGTACCGATGGGTTGGAACTTTCTGACTAGAGATAAAATGGGAACGATGAAGCCAGTCAGGGAGTGCGGCCATTTGGAATTCTTCCATGCCATAAGCTCCTGGCTGGTGAATAAAGCCCTGCCTCTTATAAACGTGGTGTCTGGGTGCTCTTTCTCTCCAGTGGGCCTTGTCTTCCTCCAACACATGCATCGCTTTTACTTACTGAGGATACCATGGCCCCAGAACTGAATGATCCCTGTTCCCTTCTCTTTTATTCTATAATGGGAGTAAGATTATTATGAGTATCTGAATCCTTTCGCAGCCATTCTCAATATTTGATTTCCTCATCCTCAGATATTAAACAAGTGACTAAGTTAATAAATGGCGTAGTTCATTATAATCTGAATCTTTTAAAATATCTTCTTTGTTGGGCGGTGCCTGTTGCTCAAAGGAGTAGGGTGCTGGCCTCATATACCCAGAGGTGACGGGTTCAAATCCGGCCCAGGCCAAAAACTAGAAAAAAACAAATAAAATATCTCCTTTGTCCATTTCTTCTAGGCTTTGCCTGGAGTGTCAATATTTAGTAACTATTTGTTAGATATATTAACAATAAAGGGCCATTTTGTATAAAAATTTGTAAGAAGATACTGTGGTTTTGATTTACTTCTAAGGTTATCAAAAAGGAGATAATTTGCAGGTTTTTACTTAGGATTATCATTCTTTTGGAACATAAGTTTATGTGATTCCAGTCAAAGGAGGCTCACCCTATAATGTGGTCCCAACTCGTGCTGCTCTTGACTCATCACAGAATTGGATGAGAAACAGACAAGGCCAGACAAGTGGACTGGGGAGGATGATGCTGATGAGTTCTCTCCACTCTTAACTGGGCTAGAGGCTAAGGACACTTTCCTTTCCCACAACAAGGACAAGGCATGTTTCTCCCAAACACTTGATTGCCCGTCAGGTTATTGTTTCCAAAGCCATGAAGAAGAAAATGTTGGAAGAAGGTTTTAGAATAGAATTTATTTTTTTCTTGTGACTGGGGTATATAGAAAAAGGACGGATACATAAGGTGAATAAGTTGTCTCTGGAAAGGACATAGGTAGCAGGAGCATGGTTTTCGGCTGAGGGGTAAACAATTGTTACATGTCATTTTGAAAGCCAAATCCGAGATTAGCTTGACCCACAGTCCTCAACCAGCCTGTCTTCTCAGAACCATTTTTTTCTTTACTACCTAAATCATAATGCTTTTTAATAGCCCTGGGTAGTACTGAGCCT